GGGCGTAGCATTATTTGTACGCGAACCTGGCCAGCGAACGCGATGACCGAGAAGATGAAACACGCCGAATCATCGCGCACGGACTCCGGAGTCCGGACGGAAAATTCGGCACAGCTGCGGCCGACCGATTGGAATGTCGAGGATCTCATAAACGACCGAACGTATTGTGCGCCGCCACCGAGCGAATGTAACGAAATTATCGCGCCGAAGACGGGGCACGCTGGACAATTAATCATCGATCCGGTGCGCGCGTTGTCGCCCGTTCGTCCGTCGCGTCGCGCGCGATATCCGAGCGTCCGACGGGAAGTGCCCCGTTTTGAATAATGACGTTTGCTCTCGACACTCGAGGCACCCGTCCTCAGCCGCGCCGCGGACGAAACGCGCGCGACACCCCGTAACTGTTCGCTCGCTTGGGCACGAGACGCCCGTACGCGCGATATACACATTTCATGCAAATATCCGCACGCGCGCGGTAACGGTTGTTTCGCTTGCGACGGCGATCCCGCGAAAACCGTTCTCTTCCGGGCGACCGGTCGCCGAGTCGCTGTCGCGGCAGGACCGTTTACGGTACCTGTTTGCGCACGCCGAGGCGGAAATTCCGGCGTCACGTAGGCACTGTAATAGTAACGGCGATAAGGCGGAGACGCCGAGCGAATTATAACCCCGAAAATCGAGTATCGCCGTGCCACTCGGTTCAGTCGGGCGAATTGAAAATAGCGTTCGGCATTGCCGGGGCAGTCGAGGGTTCGCGGCGGGAAAACGAACGGGTAAAGAAACCGCCGAGGATTTTAGCGAGTTGAATACGAGGCGTATTATAATGCGGTTTATCAGATAACGGAGGCGGACAATCGGAAAAAAAAGAGCCGGCGTTGCGGACGGGCCGCGTTCGCGGAACGTTTATTGCGTTACGGCTGCGATACAGTTAATAGTATTTCGAACACGGTAAATCTATGTTGTCGGACAAATAGTTCGCAGAATTGTTTTTACGTTATTGTTTCGGGCACGTGTACATCGACGTACAACAACGGCCCGTGAGAGAGAACAAGAGCGAAGCGGATTTCCAACGGACGCGGCTTAAAACGGTGACGAAAATTCTATCGACAAGTATCATTGAGTTTTAACAGGACCGTATCTGTCGTTGTGAACCGCCGTGCAAAGTACGATCGGTATGCGATAAACGGATTACGCGTACACGAAAACGAATTCTCGTACGCAAGAGACGCGATCATAGATAATATTATACTGAAGGTAGTGTACTAGAATGCCGAGTTTAAAGGTCATACACATTTCGATGCGACGGCGCGCAGTTTAGCACTCTACTGTTTAGTATGTACCGAATTTCATCTATTTTATGTGAATACCGATTGTGCCGCATTTCTTAGCTTGACGTTCTCTCACACCGTCACACGAGCGCTAGCAGTCGAAAATCCAGCTACTACTGTCACGGTAGTCGCATAGGGGATCACTAGTTTCAAGGTCGTTGAGATCAAGCGTAGTATTTATAATCGTGGCAAAAATAACACGTTTTTAGATTCCGAGTGGACCGAAGAAGCCTATGGTTTTATATAGATGTTTATTTTTTTCTATCCGTGGACAACTTTTCTACCAGAAATATTGCTCCGATTTTTAGACGTAACACCTTTGCTGAAAGAAAATTAGAGTGGGAAGGTAATTTTTCGATTATCCCAAGATTTGAAAAACCGCGAAAAACATAAAATCGGTACAACATTAAATAAATATTATTAAAGAAAATATATAATGCCTATTTAATTATTTTACAATAGTATGATATGTATATTGTTGAAAAAGTATCACTAACAACTGAACTCCGCTCAGAATCGTTATTTCGATAGTAATGGCTTGCAGATATATATATATATATATATTAAATTCATTTCTGTATCATACGTTTCCAATTTAATTCCCAACTACAACAATGGCTGCATCCGTCCCCATTATCCTAGGACAGCTTCATTTTCTTTGTATATTTCATTACATGTTATATTATATTATTATTTATATTACTAGGTACTTATTTTTTTGGAATATTATATTACAGTGCAATAAATAAATACATTTCGGTGAACAGTAATTCATGATGTTCTCTGTTATTACCTTTGGTTTTCAATATCGTTGAATCGATCAAAAATAATCTCTACGCATAAAGTACATTAGTGTGTTTATTAAGTATTCACTTACTAATTCGAGCACTCGGCATGACCGGATTTAAGGTTATGGGCGCTCAGGACTAAAGACCGATAAGCAAATAAAATGTTATCGACAAAAACACACATTTTGTGATCTTTAACTGGTGACTTTTGGCTACAGCCATCCTTAGCCCTCCCTTTTATCCTGCCCTGGCACTCGAGTCTAAAAAACGGGTATAAGGGGTGATAAGCAGTCATCCGAAAATTATAAGAATTCGGTATGTGAAGATTTCGGTTACGCGATCCGATGTATTTTTAAATGCTGCACACGAAATAAAATCCTACCCGACATAGTTTTCATAACGAATCGCCAATCGAAATTTATTTTCGATTACATTCGTCCATTCGTTTGCTTCGCTCCGCTTTGACGGCTCCAAACGAAGCAATGTTCAAATAAATACGGCTGTATTTAGTAATCAAACATAACCGTCTTTTCCATCTCGTATGTATTATGACGTTCGACAAGTAGCGTTTCGTGTAAATAATCGACCGCGACGGTTTTGGGGATTTAATTGAAATACGGAATTCCTATATGCAGGACGTATAGGAATAGTATTCCTACACTTGCAGGTAGGTAAAACTCGCCGCGAAATAAAAATTCGATCTGTACAAAGCAAACAAAAAAATCAGGTGGGAGGTCGTGGGGAGTTGGTGAGGGTCGTATAGGTTATTTTTTTTCCCTCGCGTTTACCTCGTCGTGAAAACCGACGAGATTACATTTGCGAACGCGCGTAATCACATAAGTAATATTATATTACAAATAACACGTGTCCCGCGAGAGTGTAGGACACGCAGTGACCGCAAACGCCCGTCGGCCAAACGTCGTCGAAACGGTCTGGAAATAGCTGGCGTTCCCGGGTTTGTCGGCCGAAAGCGATTCGGCGCACGTCGCGTGGTCGCCCGCGGCGAGAAAGAAAATATTATGTTAGGTATAAACCTAAACCCACAACGCCGGGATAACGACATGGTATACGTATATTTATTTTTTTTTACTATTTTTGGAAAACCGCATTATACACGGTCGAACATGACCGCAGCTCGGTTAAAGTGCCTTCGCGATAAAACGCATTGGTGTTCTTACGAGGAGGCGATAGGGGTAATGACACGTGGCAATTGCCACCTCTGAGTTTTTGAATAACCTCGATTTGGGTCCCGGCGTATATTCTAATAGGAACACGAGTTGAGTCTCGGCATATTTTATTTTATAACTTTTTTTTAGTGAAAACGTTAGTCCATTCTGTTAGAGTTACCCAAGAGAAACCACGCTGAGGCAGACTAAAAAGTTGACTAACAATTTTGATTGTTGTTACTATTCTTGTTTAAATCATACATGAATGTTCATATAATATAATATTTTGTCTCCGTGGCAATACGCAAACGCAAAAATGCAGTTATATCTTTCAATAATATTGGTATTAACAGCGTAGCGACGAATTTATTGTATGTGTATTATGTATAATTAAAGTTCGATAGTTTTATGGGTATTTGATTTTTATTTCCGCTATATAAATCGCATGCATAAGTACTAATAATATAGGATCAATATGCAAAACATTTGTAGTTAGCTGGGAAAACACTCGGTCAATAAAAATGCTTCGAAGTTTCCACGCTGCATCTAAAAAAGACGAGGAAATATCACCCGGCGGTACCTAATTTATTTAAAACATTTGTATGGATTCCCGAGTGAGTTTTTTTTTTTAAAAAAAAAAATTTTACGATTGTTGATTTCTGAGATACCGTGGATACAAGGGAGAACAGCACAACCGATACTACTTTACTGGTTTACCGAGATCCGTTTTATGATCATCGTGATTTTTCGATATTTTCAGTAAATAAATATATGGTCACCACATGTACCTTAATGGCAAAATGTATTTCTGGATTTATTTTATTTCAAATCGCTTTTTCTCGTATTTATTTTCATTTGTATCTCTTTATGTTATTAATTTTATATTTATATATTATCGATATTGTTCGGATAAAAAAAAAAAATCCCATGTTGTACTCCCCCCCGTCAACCCGTAAACACACCACTGTCAAATTATAATATTTCCGGTAAATATACGCTAAAATGTTTTATTTCATAGCAGCCATGAACAAAATAATTTTATACGAAAATTGGGCAATGCATGACAAGCAACTTTAAAAATAAAAGGTTATTTATGTTCAAAATGAAAAATTCCAAAAACGAATGAAAATTACACATAATAGAATGTTTAATGTTATATTTTATTATGTGTTTTGTAAAGAATAAAAAGGAAATAATATACAGATTTAATCTAAAAAAAAAAAAAAATTTACATTAGAACAATTAATATTATACGCATGTTAAATCAATGCACGTGTGCGATATCCAGTGACTATAATATAGTACGCCGAAAAAACAGTAAAGTTGTTAATAATAATAATTTGGTTGTCACGGGCGATCTATAGACATTTTGCTAATACCAATTTGTTTGTAACCATTTGAATAATAACTTTGCTAGTCCAATATTGGATCACACATTTCGCAGAGTTATCTGAATATTATTTATTAGTATTTCATTTAGTGAACTATTCGAGTAGTTATTGACTTACGGTTATAATTACCGTTGAGAAATGGATTCGGCAGTACAACTTGTACCGAACATTCTGCCGCAGAAGATATTAATCTTTCTTCTTAGAGTCCGGATTTAAATGATGCAGATGGACGCCCGCGCCGTTTAGAAAATTCTGTACCAGGAGTATTAACAAACGAAAAACCCGATAAAAACGCGAAATCGTTTTTTTGTATCAAATGAACTCATTAATATGATGTCGCATCATATTCGTACAATTATAGAAACCGATGACATAAGTTATGATGAACAACCCATAAATGAATTGACTTCACTTTTTTCACAAAAAGATTTTCAGTCTTATTCAGAACTTACATTGAAAACTGCTCTGTGGCGGCAGATTGGTCATCGAATTAAGATGTTTGTTATGGTGTTCGATAACATTAAACGTAATATGGTACATTTGACTGCTGGATTTATTTTGGTATTCCACAAGATGAAAGAACTTTGTTGCATCTCGCATAATGTGCTTAAAAACGAAGTAAATATATTCTTCAATGCTATTCAAAAGCATGTTAAATATTTTGATGACGCATTGTGGACAAAATGGTTTTCACACGATACTAAGTTTAAAGATTGCGTGTTTTTCATCACCAGAATTTTAATGCCAACGGGAAATATTTTAAACGAGGACGAACAAAACCGTATTAAAAATGCAGTTAAGTATTTAAACAAGGTGAGATGTAGTCGGTAAATTTTGTACAAAAACATACCTATACAAATTCCAGTATCAGAGACAAATGACGACGAAGACGTATTTAGTAGTGATGGTAAAACTAACAGACGAAAATATGAAGGAAATCATCGTGTTAACGATCACGATATTAAACGTATCCGAGTGACAGAAAGTAAACCAGGTGTTTTTATTAAACAATCACGAAAAATATCAAGAAGACTGTTGATTTAAAAATTAAACAAAAATCCGAGCATTAAGTTTAAATGAACTAGCCGTGCGTGTGCCATTCTCCGCAATATCAAATAATACATTTTCAATGACTGGTTACAAGGTCTTAAATTGCAGGAGTTTACATTTTACAAATTCAATTTATTACCATTTTGATAGAGATACCTACACGAATTCCTATATTTTCGTAAAACAACTGATTAAATTAATAATATGTGTTGATAATTTATATTAATCAATATCTATTTCTCAATCTCTATACACATATAGTTAGTGATCGGAATGTAATAAATTTAAAAAATAGATTTTTCATCGACATTTTCAAATATTACATTCTAAATGAAAAATGATTATTACGTTATTATGGTAAACATTTAAATATCACTTTTTGTGTTTGATTTATCGCGTACCAAAAAAAAAAAAAAAACACGTATACATTTGTAAAACTCATAGTCGCAAATAGCGTTTCAAATTTTGGTTGGCTGAACTTCAAAAATATATGATTATCTGATAAGTAAAAAAAAAACTCATTATTGTAAATCTGTGTCCACCATAAAAAACTGGTTCTAATAGTTGATAAACATGTACGAATATTGTGTGAAACATTTTGATAGTACTATAAAATATCATTTTAAAAAAGAAGAACGCAATACATGCATAATATCATGCTTAATAAGTTATCATATTCATACGATTCAATATATATTTTTATTTATTTTTTTTGTATGTTGAGAGGGCTTTTAGCAATTTGTGCATATGGTAAAACTATTTATGTGGTACATTTAAAATCTAATAAACAATCGTTAAGACGATTTTGAAAGCCTAATGTTAAAGGCGTTTCGATAACCAAGTTTAACTATTTTTTGAGAAAGAAACTAATGATTCACCAACTCGAAAATATTGAAATGTACAGTCAATTTCAAAATTTGTTCCTTGTCACAAAACCGAGTATTAAGTACCCATCAAAGTGATTTCAAACTTATTTGTATATGATAAAAAAAAAAAAAAAGGAAATTTTTAACTTAGTTAACTAGTATGTTTTGCTGTACGTAGGTAGAAACACATACCAGGTGCTATGAAATCAAATTTCATTATTTTATTCTGTGGTATTAGATATTATGCCGCTGCGTGTAAAACTTGATGAAAAACAATCGCATTTGCTATTATATATTACACGTCATTATTTTTAAATTCAGAACGCAGAGAGGAATGTATATTGGTTTTACCGTGGTGTGTGTGTCTGTGTGTTGTTTTTCTTTCTGTTAACAACTTTGTTACCGAACATCTCGCTTCGATTTTCAAGTGTATGCTGTTTTCAGCAAGAAAATCTCATACAATATACGGAATTTCAAATCATGTATAATCAAACTCCGTAATTAAGCCATTTATGTCACATACCACTTAGCGTTTTTTAAAATAAAATTTGCTTGCAATGAAAACCACCCAACATTGAATTAAACTCCTCTCCCCTGGGACCAAAAATGTATAAAATACAATATACGGATTCCGCTGTGCTTTAGATCCATAACATATTATACAAACACGGTTTCGAAAAAAAAATATTGCGAAGAACCGCTGTTGATAAATTTGAATTATTATAATATTATGTTATATTGAATTTCTCGTTTTTTTTTATGAAAAATATTATTTTCCGAGTTCCGACAGAGTAGATAGATGTGTGGAAAAATCCATATAAAAGCAACAATATACTCAGGTTCTCGAATTTCTTTTTCGTATACGCATAAACGCCAGCAGCCATTTAATCAACTCTCCTGTGGTAACGATTTACAGATTCGTTTTTCCCAAACGTCCCGGACCACTGCGCGGGGTCGTATTTCCGTATAATTTATCACCCGAATCTTTGTAATCTTTTCGCAGCCACTAATTTAAAAGAAACAAATTAGGTGTACATACCTACCGTCTAGCAAACCGATGCCGTTTTTACATTTCATTTTACGTTTATATAAAATGGTACGTAATAAAATTATACGTCAACAGATACAGAAATATCCCCGAATTTCGTTTTTGTGCTGCAATATTACATTGTAACATTTTTTTTTTTTGTTTATATTCCATTGTTAGTTTGTGGACCATCATGTCCATGAAAACAATAATTACCTACTATAACCATAGACCACAATAATAAAAATACCCATTATAAAACTGTTTTATTGGAAGGGAGCTTGTAATTAAAAAACAATACACATAAGATTGTATTTACATTTAAAAAAAAAAAAACAATTTGGCGATTCATTTTTTTTTTAATGTAAAGATGACATTGTATTGTGCTTATTTATTTTCGCGATTTTTTTTTTTTTTTTTTTCAATCCTGTAATGAAAATGCTAATAATTAAATGTACTTATTACCAGCTTTGATTGACATTTTATCAATGAAGCTGTACCGCATAGAATTGCCCGTGCACAGCACAAGAATATCGAACGAAATAAAATAAAAATGTATAGATAAACCCGTTACCTCGTATTTTACCATACATCTTCTTTAGCCCGCGTTTCCCTACAGGAACACGGTATTCACAATATTCTATAACTACCGCAGCAAAGGTAACGGGAAAAAAAAAAAAAAAATCTTAAACAAAAACACATTAAAACATATTTGGTAAGACATAATATAGGTACAATTGACTTTTGATACCATCGATAGTGCGAAACTTTCGGTACTTCAAATTAAATACACGCGGTCCGTTGCAAATCCCGCGGCAATCCGCGTAAAAAACAACGCATTCAGGAATACACTCGGCAGTTCGATGGAAAACGTTGGGCGAACCAGAAAGTACTATCATAATACTATTGGTCGTTTGATAAATAATAACGTTAACAATTATTGCGAAATGAACGTCAACGAATACTGCGGTTCGTCGGCATGCACGGGCGAAGGAAACGGTCGTTTCAATATAATTAACGAGCAATACGCACACATTCAAAATATTCAAATTATCTTTCGGACGCAAAACATAATTCCGCCGCACACGATGATGGGTTTTCGGTGTTTATGATAATATATAATGCGCGATGGTTAGAAGTGCAATTAATTACCCCTCGAAGGCCACTGTAATACACATTATCTTATATGTCGTTTGTTACCGCGTGGTAAAGTTACGTCGTCAAACCAGTGTCATCCGAATGACTAATCATCTTTTGGAAACACAGTTGTCGCAATAATTTTGACCCAAATTACGCGTTCGATATTATTATCAAAAGTTGTTTGATTAAACATTAAAGTTTCGGACGTTTTATGCGAGTATGCATGGGTAGGTACCGATAGCTACATAACAACGGCGACAGAAATAATAGCCGCGCGTCGAAAATTTCAAACAACATTAAGTACTATTGATAACTACATTTGCGATTGTAAATTAATCGGAAAACTGCATATGTGCAGCAAAACAATATGTTTTACACCGATGTCGGCGTACCGTCAAAGTGGCCCGTACATAAAAACCTCCTCGACAGACACATCGTCGTTTATTCGATATAATACCCCGCGATATTTCTAAAACAAAACAATCGGACTTGTAATGCAAATTCGGAATTTTGACCGTGAAGCATTTTGAATAAGAGACGTTTTCAACGAGGTTATTCCGACCGTGGGTTATTGTTATAGAATTACCGGCTTATTTCGAGGGGAAACCGCGAAAACCTATAACAATTGATGACAAACAGATCTGTTTTTTAATCGATCGTAAATAATATATGTAATTTATCTTATTTTTTTTTTCTTATCAAAGTACAAATTGCATAATATAACTGATCATTGTGTGTATTTATAGACGACTTATCCGTATCAATTTAATATATTAATACAAATACCAAACTGGATCAATAATGTTAAAACAACATAATTATCATATGAACAAGTACACTACATAATATTATTGGCCGAAAATAAAATAAATTTATCATTTAATATAAATTCAATATATTCCTTACTCCACCGGTCTAAACTTCAAACGGTAAATCCGACATTATTGTTACGCGTTTCGACATTTCTAGAAAAATATTCTCTACTCGAATCTGTGTTCACAAAAATATGTGTTCCTGTTTTGAAAAACAAAAGTGTATACTTATTTGAGGTCGATAGAGTAGGGGTGAAAAAATTAAAAATGGTTTTCAAATAAACCCTGAACAAATACACAATGTTTAAAAAAAAAATAAAAATAAATAAATAGAAATAAAATCCATAAAAAACCTTCGATAAAATTGCTTGTTTTGTAAAAAAAAAAAAAAATCACTCTGTGTATTATATATTATTACGTATAAAACCAAATGTTTTCGTTCAGAATTAAAAGCATATTATAATTTCATTACGGATGTAAAATTTATTCCATAAGTTCCATTGTTCAACTTAAAATATTTGTTCTGCAATGAACCCGTCATGATGCAATCTATTGCCTTTCAAGCCTAAATATTAATTGCATTAAAATGCATAACTATAATTTGATAATAATGATATAAATTAAACTATGCTTGTTATTAATTAGATTTTAAAAAGTTGAACTACAATATGTAATGCGGTATTATTTTAAAATAAAAAACGCCCCACTGCGAAAATACTTTTAGAATGAATTTATAAATATTTTTGACAGTTCTAATCAGGTTCGGAGTCATTTAATTGGTCGATTAATAGTTATTCTGTTTAATAGTTGCGAATAATTTGATAAGAACTCAGATATACGAAATAACAGGTCGTTCTTATTTGGAATTGTTATTTGAAATCGTTAGCTTTGTGTATATATTGTTTTAATTTTAACATTTTAGAAATTATCATAACGGACAAAACGTATAGATTTTTTAAATGTTTAAAATGTTTTTTTTTGTTTTAATCATCTAACAAAAATAAAACGGTATACAGGTATTGAACATCAGTGTTTTAAATTATATTTTAAACAGCCGTACTGAGTTATTTCAACACTTTTTTCAACACTTTTTTACAGTTGACTTTCAATACGTAGTTAATTCAAACCTTTGAAAATATCACGGTAATC